TGTGGGTGTGGGTGTGGGTGGGAGTGGGGGTGTGGGTGGGTGTGGATTCGAGTGTTACTTCTCCTCACATTCTACGCCCACACCCACACCCACACCCCACACCCACATCCACATCCACACCCACATCCACACCCACCCACACCCACACCCACACCCACACCCACACCCACACTCACACTCACACCCTTTCTGATTGACATTGATTTAAATTAATTGGCAGTTTAAAGAATATTTCGATATGGAATATGTAACTAAACGATATGTAATTTGTAGCCTGGAAACCTTAGAATAATAAAATGCAAATCTCGAAAGAATAATCACCATCTTTATTAAATATGCAACAAATACGTCGTCAGAAACGTTTTTAATTCATAGTGATCGTCGTTCTGAATCTAGTGATCGAATACATATCATGAACTGATATATTCAACAATTCTTTATCATGCAAAACCGCACATCGATTGTATTACAATAGTTATTTTTGTGAGCGCTTGCGACGTTAGCAGAACAATATATTTTCACACACACTCATTTTCAGTTCAGTTCACGAGTACTGAACTGATCTGAAACTTTTATAGTCCTAGCCATAGGTCAATGACATTGGTATGTCAGTAAGAAACTAATTATTACACTTGACAGCATTATATTTCAACTAGTATACGCAACAGAACCTAGATTATGTGAATTCTTTTAATAGGAAATTTCCGAAATTTCATGTTTTTCTTAACTATGTATAGTTTATTTCATAATAAAAATATTCAGCTCTTCTGATTGTTTATGTTTGATCTGAAATAGAAATTTTTTGTTCTAATTGAGCAACAAAATCTTCGGTTTCTTGTATGTCTTCATTATCTACTGGTAGTTTATTTCGTCGAATGATCAAACCACGTTTTGCATAATCTAATGCAGTACTTAAATTACCTTGAGCATAATAGACCAAACTCAAATTGACAAGTGTAGTTGCCGTATCGGGATGATTGACACCGAGAGTAATTTGACGAATGTGTAAAGCTCTTTGTAAATAGTCCAGTGCTGGTGGAAAATCCTCAAGCTTTCGATATACTTGACCGATATTATTGAGTACACGACCAATATCAGCATGTTCGTCGGTTCCATACAATTTTCGAAATTGTTCGTAAGCCTTTGTATACAACGGCAGTGCTTGATCAAATCGATTTTGAACACTGTTTATATTGGCCATCGAGTTGTATGTATTAGCAATATGAGCATGTTCATGATCATAGGCTTGTTCATATATTTTCAATGCTCGAGCCATGCATTCAAAGGCTTCATCATAGCATCTTTTCGATCTTAGTGCAATACCAATACTAAAGATTGTTCGTGCAATATCAGGATGCGTGGAAGGTAAGATATGTTCATAAATTGTTTTAGCCTCCTCCAATAATTTTATTGCTTCATTCCATCGGGCTTGGTTTAAATAGATGAAGGCTATATTCAGTAGATTTTCTGCCATACTTGGATGACCATCATGTACACCTTCTGTTCGTAAAGCATCACCTGCTTTTTGATGCAGAATGATTGCTTCCTCATATTCACCTAGCATATCTTTGATTGATCCCATATTAGCATAAATGTGTGATAAATGTCCATTTATTTGGTATTGATTAGCAATATCAAGAACTTGTTGGTATGCATTCAATGCTAACTCATACTTACCTTGCAGCATGAAGATAACACCTCGATTCGTCATAGAAGCAAGCATAGTGTAGATTGGTTGAGATTCTTGATTTTGTATATCCACTGCTAAATCAAACCATTGCAGGGCTTGATCGAAATCACCTTTGTTTTTCCAAGCATGACCGATGTTATTCATCACAATAGCACATGTAGTAGATGACAAAACATTGATTCTATCTAAATAGACTCAATATTCATTTATGAAAATAAATTTTAAGAGATGAAGGAGACGATGAAACATATTCTGATAGTAGCGCATAGTAAGAGTTTATCAAATATTCATGTACTATTATTGATGAATTTCTTTCTTTACCTTGTTCTTGATTATTAGCTTGAATCAATAATCCTTGAAAATACGAAATAGCCTTATCTGCATTACCCATTTCAATTAGTAATCGTCCAAAAAGTATTTCAGGCATTTGTTGAGTAAGTTCTAGATTATTATAGGAAATATATTTTTCAGCTAAGTGCCAACCACGATCAGTTGCACGAAGTTGAATAATGTATCGATCTTTTTTCTTTTCATCTGTTATAATCTTTTTGAACTCAAACGTTGAATCGAGATCAAATAAAATCTCTTTTTCGTCAGGAAATTGACTTAAGTCACTAATATCAGCATAAATAATATGCTCTAAATCTGAAGAAACATCAATCTCATAGATAATTTCAGCCTAAAATGAAAGGTTAAGACACAGCTTGATTATTCATTTCAATATGTGATACTTTATTTAGTTCGTTTTTATCATTCGATGCAAACATTTCAGCTATGGGACGTTGACTTGATGTAGAAAAGAAGCCACGCATAGATATGAGATCACCTTTGACTATTGATGTTTGCATGGACTCAAATTTGTCTTTGTCCATGAGAACTCCGCGATATACAGTCAAACTGTCTTTTGGCCGTGGTCTTTTTTCAAGTAATTGACAAATATCGATAATACAGTAACGTAAATCGAATAAAGCATCGATATCCAATGATCGCATAGCTTTATTAATCACATCAGAAATAAAAGCAGGTTCTGTATACCACATCAAAGCAAAACTTGAGTGATAATTTTCAGCGAAATTCTGTAATCTCTTCAATTGTTCACTATTATTGTTGAAATATTCGCGAAATCGTTTCATCATGTCGTTTTTTGCTTTTTCAGATTTGTTCAAATATCGAATAACATTTCGAAAAAGATGAAACCATAAAAAATTAGCTGTATTCTTCGAAAGATTTCGTAGTGATTGTTGCTCATTTTCGTTGATGTATCCATGTTCAAGTAAATTCGAAACATCTTGAACATGTTCAATTAATTCCGGAGAAGAAGGACAAATACTGTTCACTTTTGGATGATTGATAAGATTGGCATTACTAGTTTGTTCGGGCGAATGAATGAAGACCGTGTGTACATCGGAAGTAATTTCAGGTAACACTTGATTGACTACTGATTCGGCTAGAATCAGTAGAACCGATTTGCATTCTTCACGATGAAGTTTCTTAACGACTTTTTCACAAGACAACCAATTATTAACAAGTACAAGTTCACGATCAACTTTTCGTAGTGCAGTAATACTTTCTTCATTCACTGATGGGTCACAGCAAACAAGACGAATAGTATTCAACGGAAACCTACGCTTAAGATACAAAATATCCAACTGCTCATTACGGTAAGTAAGACGTTGTGAGCTACGATAACGAGTAATAAAAAAACTAACTCTCCGATATAAAACAATATATAAATAAAACCATGATCGACACACTAGAGAAGATATTGCTTTGAAAAGCCACACAATCATTGTAGTTTGAAGATGCTCAAATTAATGTTTCATTTTTCCAATTCCTTGCTTCTATACTTGTCTTTTGCTTGGTTTTTTCCTTCAAAGTATGGGAGTGTGCAGTCTATTCATTCGACATGATATTTTTTTCTTCCGTGTTGTTTTCTATTAAAGAAAAAAGGAGCAGTGAAACATTTTTCTTTAACAGTAGAGAAGCAAAATTGTACCTTCCATTTCTTTTCAAAACATGAAACATAAATCAAAATGCTGTATTTACTTCTAATGTTTTCACCGTAAAAAATAAAATAATCAAGAAAAAATAAACTTCATTGAAAAAAAACAAGAACTAGCATTTCGAATGATCAAACGAGCATGAAAAAAATTTGTGCTTCATTTTTCGCATGACTAGATGCCACTCCTTCTTGTCCCGTGTATTTTTTGTAGGTGACTTTATAAAATCTGCTGATAATTATTTGAGAAATAGAGATACTCTAATTGCTTCTATGAGTATGAGTGTTGACGTTTTAGTTCGTCTAATTTACCCTCCCTTTTTAATAATTATATAGAATATGCTTTGATGAAACAGAATTCAATAGAGAGAAATATCAACAACAAACATGACAGTTTTGGTTTATGTTCTGTGAATTTTTTCTTTTTTAAGGGTTTTTTAGTTTTTCTTTCAGTGAGCTTCGACATATTGCCTGGCAGGTGTTGTAGTTACGAATTGTGATGAAGGATGGAAGAGAAGCCGTCTGAATAGAGACCAACAACATAATAATTAATTTTACTTGTGCTTTAATTAGTCTTTTTTTGTTCAAATATTCGACGATACGCATGGTTTCGAAGCATATCAATTATAGAATAATAATAAAAAAAACAACTTTTGATAATTGTAAGAAATAAATTCATCTATATGAAAAAAAAGTTTGAAAATGATTTATTTCTCGTTAAGATATTGTTGAAACTTGGAAGAGAAAGAAAATATTATCATATAGATTATTTATTTCAAGTACTTAACGAATCATTAGTTAAACCGTATGAAAAATAAATGATTGAATTTGTGAGGGTGTGGGTGTGTGGGTAAGTAAAAGAAATTTCACACTCACACACCCACACCCACACCCACACCCACCCACACCCACACCCACACCCACACCCACACCTACACCCACACCCACACCCACACCCCATACCCACAAGCCACACCCACACCCACACCCACACCCACACCCACACCCACACCCCATACCCACAAGCCACACCCATACCAACCCACACCCACACCCCGACCCCTCCTTGTAAAACTTTTCGTTACACACATCCACACCCATACTAACTTTGAGCATCATCTGAGAGTCAAAGGATAAATATTTCTTTTATTTATCGGGAGAAAAATACGACATTGAGTTTTTTGTTTGCTGAAATATGTAAAAATTATATGTTTATTTTCATATTGTAAAACAACAGAGCTCTAAGAAAAGTAACAAAAAACATGTGACATATGGTGATAGAACGAAAGAAGCGTGATGTAAAGCATTTTGAAGAAAAACTCAACAAATTACCTGATAGAATATCCTTGCCTTATGAAAATGTCACACTTCATTGATTTTCATAATTAGAAGTGAGAAAAAGTCAAGTAATTTCTTCAAAGATAAATACGAAGAAAAATCGGTTGCAAACACACAAAGTACACCTGTATATTCTCACATCACTCACTAGGTAAATATATTTTATTTGCAACATTATATGAGTATATTCAATCAATAAAAAATCCGAGTTGAAATGTGAATTTTTTGCATTCATTTTTATTGCATGATAATGTATTCTCTTCTTTTTTATATACTATAAACTGATATAGGTTGCTTATATATTTTACCATTATAATATTCTAGTGGTCTTCTAAATACACTCTATAGCTTAGATTTGCATCTTTTTGTATGTGTGCATATATGATTTAAAAAAAATAGCGATTATCACATATTATTACAAACTTGATTTTCTTTTATACACTAAACCCTCTGTAAAATATCTATTATATGGTATGCATACATAACACCATGCTCTAACATTCCGAAATAATTTTTAATACTATGCTCTTTTTTTTTAAATGACATATAAAGTGCACCTATTGGTACAGAGACAATAAAACAATTCTAACAAGTGAACTTCATTGTCATTATAGAACGAAAAGAAAGCACAATATAAAAATTTACTTCCGAATGTATTAATACATAGTGTTATGTATGCGTGCTATGTAACTAATATGTTAGGAAAGGTTCAATGTACAAATGAAAATCAAGTTTGTAATAATATGTGAATATCTTTACACTCGAAATTATATAGCCTTACATATGAAAGGATACAGATCTGAGATATAGAATAAGTAGAGGACCACTAGATTATTAAAATGGTAAACATATGAGCAACCTATATCAGTTGATAGTATATAAAAAGGCAAGAAAATACATCATCATGAAATGAAAATGAATAGAACAAAATCAAAGTTCAACTCGAATTTTACTAACAATGGAGGTGTGTGTGATGTAACTCAAGGAGATAGGACATATTCGGGTCAAATTAAAGGTCTCATTGCCAAACTAACAAATTTAAAATAAGACGTGCTTATGGCTTGTCTGGATCGATATATTCGAATTTCAAGATATACAGTTTAGGCATAGCAATGAAATCAACATAAGAATTTTTCATATTAGTTTCATAGAAATCATTGATTTTCGAATCGGAAACTGCCAGAATCTTGTAGAAAGTTATCAATTGCATCAGGATCGTTTTAGTTTTGATATAATCCGGAAGTTTTGAAGTGCTCAACTAGAAAAGATATGGTTTGGTTCATGTACATCTCTTAATTATCACCACATTGATCTTTATTTATGTGAAGACAAAAAGCTATATAATATCATAATTCAAAATTATTGCTACAAATGAAAATGAATATCTTCAATTAAATGATAATAACAAAGGTGTTTGTTGCACCAAGCACATTTGAGAAGTGTTCGTTGTCCACAATTATCGATTGAGCAATAAAGTTCATAAAACTTAAAACAAATATCTTTTGGTTTTTCAATTTCACTGATCGTTTCATTAACTATCTTAGCTTGCACAAATCCAGAGTTAATAAGATTCTTGAATTGTGGAGCAGATAATTGGTTATGAATAACACAATGCATGTTAATAAAATATTGACGATCCTTCATAACCAATTCTGTTCGATTTATATGAGTGTAATGCTCGATTTTTTTATGAAAAAATCGCCATGAACGAAACAAGGATAGGTCTTGTGGTTGAATATGCCCAGTTGATCCTTCAGGAAAAACCAGTAACTGACTGTTTTGATTGGGAAATACTGCTCTAAATTTTTTTAGATCAGTTTGAGTTTTCCAACAATCAAGGAAAAGAAGAAATTTTCTACCGACCGAAGGACGGAGAACTTCATTTAAAAAAATACGATGTTTTTCACCGCTACTTTTACCAGATTTCGAGGCTTGTACTACTACATTCGATGGTACATATAAATCTGTTTGTACTCTTTTGCCAAATTGATTTTCTTTTTCTTGAAGAATGAGTAAGAACTTGTCTAACAGACGACCATCAGCCGATGTAATAGGTTGCACTGTATAAGAATGCGTTATTTTATGCTTCTTTCTAACCGCAACTTCTGTTGTTCGTTCACCAGTAAAAGACAATGTCCTTGGAGAAACGTATTTCTGTTGGAATGAACAATGATCAGTATTTAAAATTTCTCGTGGAGAATAATTCGAAATAATAGGTCTTATATTTTCGACCCAATCTTGAGCATCTGAAATATACACATATATTATTTTTACATAAATATAATTCAGTCTCGGATGAAAGTTTACATACCTTTTAAACTACAAACTTTTCTGGATGAGGTGGTTCGGGTGACAAGTTTATTATATCTTCGCGATAAAATTTTCTTTTCTTTTTTGAATGCTTGTATAAACGATTTACTTGCTTTGAAGGTATCCCAATTCAATTCTCTTGCCTTTTGAATTGCATATAGTTCCAAATCAGTATCATGAACAGCCTCTTTTCAACTTGTCTTTTTATGCAAAATTCATGCAACATAAATTCTTTAATCTTTTCGAGTTTTTCAAGTGTTGTTCCATCTTTTTGAATATATTCCCTAAACCTTGAAATATAATTTCTGGATTTGATTTTTCGAAATCTACGTTGGATACCGGAAAAACTATAATGCGGATGTTGATCGATCCATTCGATAATATTTTTCATTTCTTCCAAAGTAAAATGACTTCTGATGTCTATCTGTTGGTTCTTATCATAATCATCAGTTTCATCATTTTCATCATAAGTATCACTTTCATCATCGCTTTCTTCTTCATCAGTTATTTCATCATATTCATCATCGAATTCGAGAGTTTCATAAGTATGAAATTCACTGAAATAACTGTCTTTAAAAGCTTTTAAAACTTCAAATAATTGCTGTGCAGCAAAAAATTCATCAGCACTAGTCACAGAATTTGCGGAGCCAAATTCTGTTTTCGTTAAGTATAGTAAATGTTTGGTAATGTTTACCAAATTCATGTTTGTATGATACAATAAATTATTCTTTTCGAGTAATAGCTGTAGCAGAATGAATCAGAAAATATTTATTTCAAGCTTTATGTGATAGGAATATCTCAATACCAATCCAAAATTTAAAATCAATGAATCGTCAAGTGATGCATTAATGCACTTATTTTTTCGATATTTTACATACTTATTGTTTGTGCAATAGTACATATCTTTTCTAGTTGAGCACTTCAAAACTTCCGGATTATATCAAAACTAAAACGATCCTGATGCAATTGATAACTTTCTACAAGATTCTGGCAGTTTCCGATTCGAAAATCAATGATTTCTATGAAACTAATATGAAAAATTCTTATGTTGATTTCATTGCTATGCCTAAACTGTATATCTTGAAATTCGAATATATCGATCCAGACAAGCCATAAGCACGTCATATTTTAAATTTGTTAGTTTGGCAATGAGACCTTTAATTTGACCCGAATATGTCCTATCTCCTTGAGTTACATCACACACACCTCCATTGTAAGACAAATATGCCGTATCAATACGAATTGGTATATATTGTTCAGCACTCGAAAAGCATTAGCTATTTTGATTTTTCTTGTGATAGAAAACGTATACAAAGCAACCCCATGGAGACATATAAAAGTGATCGATAAGTAAATACTGAGAAGCAATAAATTCAATTCTCAGTTTCTTAAAGCCTCTTTTCTGCACTCATTTGGGATAGCTGGACTACTTATGTGTTAGAGAAGCAATAATCTTCCGACTCAATTTCCATTCTGTAATACGATAGATTAAAATTCTGTGGAGGGATTTTTATAAGACTTAAGAACCGACCATACAGTCGTACAACAGTATGTGACGACTCAAGAGTGTCTTAAATCATAGCCAATTTCAACCCAAGGATATCTCTAAATAATAGAAATTGAGGACCTAAGGATGGCTCTAAATAATAGTCAATGTCATATATTCCCATGCATTCTTATCTATTACTATTCATTTTGATCGATTCTCATCTATTCTCATCCATTCTTAACACTCCGATCAACTCCCAACTATTCACAGCCATTTCGATTAGCCTTTTCCCCCTTGGCCACACCCAGCGCTGTCAATCTTTCACATAATGGCGATTGAGCTTATATATTCTTTTGTAAAATCTACTAGCACCTACGCACCTTATCTGCTCCTCCGCATTTTCTCAACACCTCAGTACCTTCTCAGCACCATCCAGCATAATTTGGAGCTTGGAACCTCTACTTACCACCTTGCTTGAACCATGCTTTCAGCATATGAGTTTCCGAGCGCACGACTACCCTGTGGTATTAACAGCCACCACAATGCGACTACATCCAATATTCATATAGTGGATACTCTTCATTCCATTTGAGTAGTGTCACATATCCAAGATTTTGGAGATGTCACTGCATCTCCAGCGGGAGACGCGATACCCACACTCGGGAGATGAGGTCATTCACCACTGGAGATGTAAGATCTCCTTTAGAGAGACGCATCTCCCACACCCCCACTCGCATCTCTCGTGCGAGATGCGGCATCTCTCGTGCGAGATGCGGCATCTCCAAAATCTTGAATATTTCAAACTGCTGATTTTTAATCTGACAAGGGACTGCGCTAATTGCTTTTCAGAAATGTTAATTCTTTTACTTATCACCATATATATAATTTAGAACTTTCGAGCTTCTCCTTAGAAAAGTTGTTGCTGAATACGTCTCAAAACCTGAAGCTATAGAAGCAAGGATTTCAATGTCTATCGAAATAGATGTTTGAGCTGCATCTATGCTCATTCACAACATGAGGTTTAGTACAACTATCAGAGACTGGTTTTGTACATTAAATCTGCTTTCTTAACTTTTTACCATTATTTGAAACACATGTCTAAACGTTCAAAAATAACAAACATATTTGTCGATTGTAGAAACTCTTCGCAAACTCAAAATTTTCAACAAATATTCGGTCCTCAAATTTTCAGGTGAAACCACAGAAACAAAATTCGTATCGAAGAAAAATTCGTCTGCTATTCAATGGATACCAATGAACAAGAAAAATCACACAGTGTCACAACAGATGTTACAAAAACACATAATAAGTCCATAATTCGCGATCCCAATACCTCATCTGTCGCACTCTCCGATGTGTCAATCTCAGATTCAAGTTCTACAACGTTAGGCAGTGAAGGTGAAAATGGTTCACCCAGCCGTTCCAGTGACCCTACACACGAGGAAACCAATAAAATGACACTTCCATTAACGTCTGAAGAACAGCAGTCCATATCTCACGAATCCATTGAAGAACTAGAAACTCAACTGACTCATGGCTTGAAAGAATGGGAACTCACTAATCTTGAAGAAATTTTGCAAGAGATAAACAAAACGCAGAATGAGATCGCAGAAGCGCAGAAAAGAGGAAGACAAAAGAACGCTGCTCAAAAACAAGCTGATCTGAATAAACTCCAGGAACTTCGATTGTTAGCGGAAAAGATAGAAACTCTTAGAGCGTCGGATAGTCAACGTCTAGATGTCGAACAACTGAAACATCAACTGGGCGATGGTTTCAAGGAACATGAACTCGCTAATGACGAAGAACTTTTGCAAGAGATAGCCAAGATGAAAGATGAGGTCACAGAGGCGCAGAGAAAAGGAAGACAAAAGATTGCTGCTAAAAAGGAAGGTGTTCTAATTGAACTTCAGAAGCTTGAATCGATAATGGAAAAATTGAAACCATTAAAGGCAACCGCTATTCAAACACAGGGTATGATGATACAGTATAAGAACCAATAAATCAATGCGAAGCTTTCATGACGAATTTAGATGAACTGTGAATCTTCAAGCTTACGAATCGGAGACATAGGGCTTGTGGGAGGATGTTGAATATACCCTTCTGTCCACTCTCACACAGGTCCCATGTGTATAGATCCTGTAGTTGAGGATTTGCCGATCGCCTAAATCCGTCGTAGCAGCTTTACATCGACAACCAATAATGTAACTTAAGGGGGAGAGGGAGGGCTTCTTGGCTAAAACTGTCCCTGATCGAAAGTAGGTGTATTGCATTCAGGCAGTCGGTTGTAGCCTTCATAAATGCGCAAAGAGACCAGTATATTCTGAAGATTTGACTTTCACTGTAATTGGTTGAGTAAGGTGCGCGCAATGCAAAAATCGAGCAGAAAACAAAACTTAATCAATTATATATCAGTTAATAGAGCTTTTTGCGCTGATTCAGAATATATATCTTTCAACTTTCCAGATCTCATCCGAGCCGA